TTCCTACTTGTCTTTACCAAGTGGCACGTTCTCACCAAGGCTGAAAATTCCTCTTGTGGTCTTCAGAGAAAGGGACAAATGCAGAATAACATTCCCTAAGAAGCACTGCCTCTCTGTCCCCATTTGATGAAGAGTGCTTTGCTACACCTCTTAATGACAGCGTCTCAGTTGACTCCTCAATCATGGCAACAATGCCTCATCAAGCACTCTGTAATCCCTGAGTGTCTCAATTTACTTCCTAAAGTCAACTGCAGCGCATTCAGCAACAGCTATCACACACAGTCGTGGTGTCTCACCAGATTGTCTTTGATGAGTTGTTGATAACGCAGGAAGATTTGCTGCCGACTCAAAACAGATGTTTCTGACCAGTTCCAAAAAGCCTTTTTGCAAGAAGCCACAGCTGCCTCCATCTCACTGGCTGTGGCTTTTGGTACACGGCCAACCACTTCATTTGTGGCCTGAAGGTAAAAAGAAACTGCATCAAAACTCTTTCCATCTGTCCCTGTCAAACATTCAATAGTCTCTTCACACCACACGCCCAATATCCTTGTTCTACAAGGAGCTGTACTTCTGAGGGGAGAGCACAGAAGAGGCTCCTTCCTTGGTGCACACAAAAGGCCTGGGCTACTGGAACAGTTCTGAAAACCTACACTCTACACATCTCATGTCAGACACCAAGAAAGCTGCAAATGCAGTGCTGATTTCCAAGTTGGAGTCGAGGTGACTTGTCTATCTTGAAGCTTCTACACAGTATAAGGCAAAGGTTTCTGTGGACTGTAGTCTTTTCCCTCTGCATCATATTGGTTCATCTGCTATCCCTCTTGTGCATTAAACAAGGCAAGGTTCCTCTGGAAAAAGCAGTAAATGACTGTGCAATTGATATCAATGTTAGTTTACCTAGACCACCAGGCCAAAGCAAGATTTTTACAAGCAACAGTATTTTTACTTTAAAAGCTTGGTTTTGCCAGTTTAACCTCCTTCAAACACACTCTTAAATATTAAGTCTGCTTTGACATGACATAAACATCAGGTACATCATTAAGAGATAAACTACTCAAAACAGGAGAAATAAAATTAAACAAGAACATTGGTCACCACATAGAGAGACCAAATGAGCTTCGTGAACATGGCTTGCAGCTCTGATTGAGGCCACAAAGCAAATCAAAATAGGGCTTTACAGAGAAAAGCTGTAGAAACTGCTGTCCAAATGCTTACTGGGGGAGGTCAGAAAGGTCAGAATTCTGAGTACAATCTCATTGCCATTTGTCTTTGGTGGAGGACTCAGACAAGTAAAAGGGCTACTAATCTAAGGTTATTTTGCACTGCACAGCATCCAGCCTCTAAATTCACTGTTAACATTGTGGCATTACAGACAGAAGCTCTCTGAAAGGAGAGAAGCTTCGGCCACCAGGATTTTTTACCTTGGTCTGACTGAAATCAGTCTCTATCAGGACTCCACATTCAGCTGGCATCAAATCACACCCAGTTGATTTCACATACAAGGTAAAAGAAACCCTTCAGAAATTTGACATACTGATCACAAAGCCTTTCTATGAGCAAAAAAAAATGTAAGTAGAGTTTAAGGTTCCTTTCTGGAGATCGGGGTTTTACTACAGAGGGGAGATAAAGGAGGTCATCACTTTCCTAAGACTGACATTTCATGTGAAAAAGAAATTGAGAAGCAATTACACAATGCTAAGCCCATCTTAAGCTCCAAGTCTAAACCTTTCTCAATAAATGCATGTACTTTCCTTTTTTGCCAAATGCTTGAACTGAGGCACAGACCCTTTGCACAGTGATCACTAATATATAAGCTGAGACTATTTCACCTACCGGGTTGTGGATATCAATCCATTCAGTAGTTTTGGACTCAACAAACTTCCCATCAATGAAGAGTTTGGTTGTTGGCTGTGAAGGACAAAACACTGGACAATGAGTGACCTGTGTCTCAAGACACCTAAATACCAGCATGCCTTATTGCAAGCCTTCATCATTTACTGTTATGCTGCCCACTAGAGTCTAGATCCAGTATTTACAGCAAGACCACAGGCTAAAATTTTTTATGTTCCCTGTTCCGTTTTTCTCTCACCTTACACCAAAATGGCCAAAATTCTTTCTAAAAGCGGTTAGAGAAAAAAATACATTGTTATGCTTATGTTCAGAACTATTTCAATCTACTTAATCACCCAATGTTTACTAAGTTAGAAAACTGAAAAAACAAAATTCATAAATGTTCAGAAAAAACAGTTAATAATTCACACTGGGAGAATTCCATGTACCCAGTGCACACTGTATTACATGTTTCCTTCCCATCAAACCACTAAGTAGGGTAATCTCTCCAGCTCATAGCTACGAGCATAACAATGGACCTTCCCCAATCCCCACTTGGTCCTGCAGCTAACTAAGAGCAAGGAACCTGCATCTGCTGAGCTCACGACTGTTCTAGCAGGCAGCACAGAAAACAGAACTTTCCAACTCAGATGCTGAGGAGAGAAAAAGAAAGCTTGAAATAAGGAGTTCAGGTAAATGTAGGGCAGAAGGAAAAGCAGAGGTAGAAGCTGTAACTAGCACTGAACAGGCAACAAAACTGTATCATGCAGGAAAACAGATTGGGACTGTATAAATTTGGAAACTAGGAGTTGATACGGGGAGGTAAGGAGAGAAGTAGGAGAAAGCAAGAACCAGTTAATCATGCACAAAACAGTGGCTTTGGGGAGAACAGATAAGGAGAAGCATCTGCTGTATGAAGAACAGAAATGAGACGGATCAATAGAACTGGGATATAAACCCAAATATATCAGGAAACACTGTGGAGAAATTAGAATATGGAATCATGAGAGGGAGATGAGAACTGAGGTGCTATCCAAGTCTAATGAAGGGAAAGAGATCAGAGGAAGAATGAGGAATATAAACGGTGTTGGCTAGACAAGTAATGACAGTGAGAAGTTGATGAGAGTGAAAAAAGTGAACAGCAATGAGAGTTGGGACAAGCTGAGAAAGCCTGGAGATGAGAAGCTAGGATAAGAAGTGTGAAGTAAGACTGTTAATGGATAAGCAAGACCTAGTGATTTGGGAGGTAACACCAGGAATGAATCAAAAATAAAAGGTTGCAGATGATTATGTAGTTGAAATTACACTTGGGAGAGAGAGGCAGTAATCTGTGCCTACGACAATACAATCCCCTCTGGAAGCTGGAAGGAAGCGCAGGAAATCTGAGGCCCTTAACTGAGTCTCCTGACTGTAAGAAAAGGTCTTCTAGTGCTGGTCTATAGAATGACACACTCCCACTGCTATCAGTCACTCCATTAGCCCAAGTGCCATGAATCTGCAGTGGACCTACACGTGTTTTACGCTTTATGACCCACATGGACTTCAGGGCAATGGAATTTATATTTTTTCAAATTCCTTAAAAGGGATATACAGAAAATTGCGCATGCAAAGAAAAAAATATTTTAAGCAAGCCAGGAAATGCTGAATTAAGGTTGATTGCACTTTTTCCATACAATCACCACCTTTTTTTTCTGTAGACAATGAGCCTGCTGTGGGACTACGGGCTGTAGTAAAGCAGGCTATTTGGAGAATCATGATTTAGCTGTTCAGAGCTTGGAGAGTGTACAGTCATGGATACCGGAAGAAAAAAGGCACTGTAACAGTCAAAGTTGTTCAATACTGCCCAAATGAAATCAGATCCACTCTCACCACAAACAGATAATATGAGGCCAGTCCACACAGCTTGAAACAATCTTTTTTCACACATTATCATTAGTCATATATTCTATATTCATTTTTGCTGATCTTATTGAGGAGATACAACACATGGTAAATGAAATCTAAAAATTGGGAAAAAAACCCCTGGCTGGTGTATATGTAGCACAGGGCATGGTACTTACAGAACATGGAGAAAACAAACCAGGACACGATTAACTGCACTAACATACCGCCCTTCGGTGTACCCGCTGGGCCAGGCAGGGCTCGCTACAAGCAGCAACGTGAGGCGCTTCCCTGCGCGGCTGCTCCGCGACCCGCGGAGGGAGCTGCCCAAGCGGGCCCTTCGTAGCTCCGGCGTCAAACAAGTCTGACACCGAACTTTTTTGTTGTTGTTGTTGTTTTACCTTCCCTCCCGTTGAGGGCGAGGGCCCTCCGTGTCCCGTGCGCCGGCAGCCCCAAATGTTTGTTCCTGAAATACCAACCCCGCGCCACGGGGCGGGGAGCGGAGCCGAGCAGATCTAAGCCGAGCTGGCAACAACGACCTCACAAGACAAGACCCGAGGGAAGTCTGCGACCGGCTGCGGAGGCGCCCGGGGCTTTCCCGCGCCCTCCCCCCGCCCGCGGCCGCCCCTCAGCCCGGGCGGGGCCGCCCTCCAGACCCCGCGGCCTCCCCCGCCCTCCGGCTCCGCTCCGCGGGACGGGCACTCACCACCGAGGAGGAGGACAAAGAGGCGGCGGCTGAGACGATCCAGGGGGCACCGGCTCTCCACGGCAGCTGGACGGGAGGGGAAGAACACCCCGGTGTCTCAGGGCTCCCAACCGACCCCGGTCCCCCGCCGCGGGGCCGGCCAGCGCCCGCCCAGCCCCCACCAGATGGCCGCGACCCCCCCCTTCCCCCCCCGCCCCCCCGGAGCCGTTGCGGGGCCGGGGGCCTCCGCCTCACCCTCAGCGCCGCGCGCCTCCGTCCACCCCAGGCGCCGCGTGCCGCCGCCGCCGCCGCCATCCCGGCCGAGGGTCGCTGCTCCGCGGCCCCCGCCGGCGCCCCTCGCCCCGCCCCCGCGCGCTCATTGGCCTCCCCGCGCACCGGCCTCTCCCGCTCCGCGCGCCCCGCCCCCTCCGGAGGGGCCCTCGCAGCCCGCAGCCAATCGCTGTCAGTGAGACCGCCGGCCCCGCCCCCCGGCCCCCCCCGCCCCCCGTGCCGGGCCGCGGATTGGCTGCGGCAGCTAGCACCGCCCGTCAGAGCCCGGGATTGGCCGCGCGCGCCACCCCCTGACGGCGGCGGCGAGAGCGACACTCGGGGCTCGCGGACTGGCGGGTCTGCTCCCCCTCGGGCTCGGCTGCGCGTCACGTGCTGGGGGGGGGGGGCGGCGGGGTGTCCCGCGAGCCGCGGCGGCGCGTCACGTGAGGCGGGCAAGATGGCGGCTCCCGGGGACGGTAAGGCGCGAAGGCCGGGCGGCGCCGCTCCGTTCCGCCTGCCGCCGGCGCGGTGCCTCACCCCCTCTCTGTTCTAGGTGCCGACCTGGAGGCCTCGCTGCTGAGCTTCGAGAAGCTGGACCGCGCCTCCCCGGACCTGTGGCCCGAGCAGCGTAAGTTCGGCGGGCCCGCGGCCGCCTGTCAGCTGGGGGGCCGGGGCAGCTCTGTCCCCTCCGCGGCGCGGCCCTGCCCTTCCTCGGGCAGCTGCGCGGGCCGGGCTGGGTCCTCACGGGCCGGGCGGGGGCTTGGGGTGCTGCCGCTGGAGGCGCTCACCCACCGCTGCCCTTCGTTTTCTCTCCCCAGTGCCCGGGGTTGCCGAGTTCGCCGCCTCCTTCAAAAGCGTGAGTGGTCGCTGCTTCGCCCGTCGCGATTCCCCCCTTCGCGTGTGGCGATAGATCTGCTGCTTTCTCTTGTGGGCTTTACGTCCGTGTTCTATAAAAAGTATCTCAATTATAGCTCCAGTCTATGTTAACATAATCCTTTTGGATTTAATGTCTCTCTTCTGTTTTGTTTTTTTTTTTTTTTTAATACCTTATGCAACTTACTGGGAATGAGAATTACACCTTGGAAGAAGTAAAAGGTTTTAAACTTTATCAAACTGCACTGATTTTGGCTTGTGGGTGGTAGTGTGCCGTTCTTAACACTAACAAGTCCAGGGGAAGATGGAAAACAAGGTTAAACAAAAATATCTTTCCTGAGCACCAGGAACTCTCCTATTTTTGTTGTGAGTTTAGTTTTCAATACAAGATCAGACTTCTTTCTAAAGTGCACTTGTCTGAATATGAACCTTTATTTTTTTTCAAAACAGCCTATTACGAGTTCTCCTCCCAAGTGGATGGCTGAATTAGAAAATGATGATATCGATATGTTAAAGGGTGAGTATGGACATTGTGGGTAGGAAGTAAGGTTGCCGAAGCAGATGAGAGTTTGGTACTTGTTATTTAAAAGTTCTGGAGGTGGCCCTGTGGCCTCAGATCTCTATCCCTCGCATTTGCAAAATCTCCAGCTCAGGAGTCTCTTTATCTTGTTAATGATACATATTTTCATTAATCCATTTATCTCTGAGAGAATACCCAGATGTAAGTGGCAGGCTGATTTTTCAAAACAAGCAAGCGAGAACTAGTTGAAGCAGTGTAATGTTACATATATTTCAGTTACCTCACTTATCTGTCTCTCACTGCGTAAGTATAGTGGGTGTCTTCTGTATTTTAAGTGTCATGAATTTCTTGGTGGGTCTCTGCTGATCAAACTTGGTGAGCTGCTTAGACTTGTTGATTGACTTGTTCAGAGGTGCTCTGGGTGTGTGTTTTCACTCATAGATCCAAGATCTCTAATTGAATGGTAAGGCTGTATGAGCAAATCACAGAAGGACTGGCTAGCATGTGGATTTGTGGCATGTTACATCTGTTAGTTTGCAGTAAACACCCTTGAGCATGTTCTGCCTCTGTTGGAAATTCCAGATAAACTGTTACAAAGTGAAAGTGGGACAAATTAACTTGTTACAAGAAATGTGCTTAAACATGCATTATTAATGTATAGTAAGCCTGTTCCCTTGCAGACTTTGTTTGTAGCTTATTCACATAGAAATGTGAATTTACAAGGACTTCCAAAACATGGGGCAAGTTGCTCATTGCAATGGTGGCAGATTACAGTATGAACCAGATGGGTGGCTGTCTTTTTCGATAAATAAAGATGGGCTTTTCTCATGTTAAAATCAGGGGTGGCATCAGCTTGAATTTCTAACATATTCTGTTCACTGGAAATAGATCTTGTCAGAAGTATGACTTGAAAGTGCTCTATGGAGTAGTAAACAGGTAAACTGTCATTAGAGGGCTATAGACAGTGTCAAAATTCATGTTTTTCTCTCTTCTTAGAGTTGGGGAGCCTCACTACAGCTAACCTGATGGAAAAAGTTCGTGGCCTGCAGAACCTGGCTTACCAGCTGGGACTGGATGAATGTAAGTGCTGTATGTGGATGTGACTGACTGCATTGCAGATCTTCCCACTAGAGCGTATGCTCATGGTACATTTGTAGCTGGAAAAGTGTGTTGGCAGGTTTGGCAAGTTTTTACTGACAGTCACAGTTAGTTACCTTTCAAAACAGGGTGAGAGAGCTAGCTTACATCTCCAATTTATGACCTACCTGCATGGGTGAAACATCTTAGCAGAAATAACAAGAAGTCATGTGTCAATCTGGTGTTGTTTAGTGGCACGTAGATTTCTATTGACATTGCCTTAGATAAATCAGGTCACTTAGCTTTTGTATCTGAGTGGGAAATTAAGCAGTTTTTCAAAATACTTGTGGCACGCGCTGCCTCCACAATGAAACTTTAACTTGTGTTTAGAATTCTCCTATCACTTAGTGTTCATACTGTTTTCTGCTGCTGTAGCTGCTACTTCTTTCTGCACTCAGTTATGGCAGGAGGAGATGTCATTGAGTACTAAAGTTGACCGTCATCCCACTTACAAACAGCCAAGTTTTATCAGTTTTTTGAAGGAGCAGCTGCTTTCATCATCGCATTTAGGACTCTGTTGTTAACAGGTTGATTGAGCTTTGAGGAGTTCATGTTGTGTTTCTTTTAAATGCTACTTGTACATACTGACGCATTTAGTTTTTTCTGTCTAATTTTGCTCTGGCATAGACCTTAGTTGCAGTTACTCTTGGGCTACACAAAGCACCAAAAGTTTTAAAACTTACAGGTCTTTCACCTTCCTTTCACTGGATAACAAAAAGCAGTAATAGACCTTTAGAGTCTTCCTCATTGTAAAACTAGGGTATCCTAATGCTTTTCTGTTGACAGATCATTAAGCACTGTTTTAACGCATTCCCTGCAAGTTTATGTTGCTTTCAGTGCAAACATGTTAAGACTGTGTAAAGCATGCAGTGGAGTAGAAGTTAACATACCACGATGTAAAACTGAGTCAAATACAAAGACTGGCTGATGATTGGCTTTCTCAGTTAAGATGTAAGCTTAAATGTCAGACAGCTTTGTCCTGCTAAATGGAGTTTAAGCAGAGCCTGAGTTACATTAAAGCTAACAAGGTGGTTGTTTCCTTAGCAGTATTTGTTGCATGCATTTCTGTTTATTTTTACTGAGAACAAATAAATACCGGAAGAAGACGAAGTGAGTGAATGTTGAAATAACTGAAGTCTTGAATTTTCAAGCTTTATGAAAGCTCTCTATGTTTAACTTCTTGTCACTGAAGTCTGTTTTCCTCTTGGCTATACCTTGAATGCTTTGTATGTCATAATGTACATTTATCTTAGGAAATTTTCACAGAAAATTAGATGTGGAGTTTGAACAGAGCTTCTCAATACTGTCTCTAAGTTCTTTTCTCTTACAGACTTAGATAAGTGAGAGAACAAGAAGAAAAATCCTAAAGATCTGGTCATTAAAGTTAAAGGCCTTGTGGTTTTGGTCCAGAGGTATTGGATTTGGTTATATCTTTGTGTATTGAAATTTAATAGTCCCTTTTTGATTTGATTGTTAATTGAAACTGGCTATCAAAACCATCATTAAAACCTCTGCTGACCAGTCTCCTCTAGATGGCACCATGAGGCTTCCCAGAGAAGTCTTGCTGCTTTTTCATGAAACTGTTTCAGTCATGATCTGAAGTTCTTCCTCCCAAGGTTGTTTTTTGTGACACATTTCATGTTCTGAATGTGCACTGTCTTTTTTTTTTACAGTATTCTCAAACATTTTATCTGTACAGGATGTGAGAAACAATTCTGCTTCATAGAGCATTTTCAAAGACTTCTCTTTTCATGCAAGCTATTGATAAAATGCTGTGCAGGACCGGAGTGATTCCTGCAGCACTTTGTGGCAAATGTATCTTTTGGGTGACTTTGTAGTTATGTTGTGAGGTCTGTTATTGAACCAGTTTACAGCACATTTCATGTTAATTTTGCATTAGAAGTCATTAGGCAAAGTGACGTGTGGGACTGTGTATCTTTTGAAAAGTTTATTCAAGTACTGCAACCCTAAAATTTAAATCTGAGCAATTGATTTGACATGATGTAGTTTGATAAATTAATAATTACTGCATTACATGCTTTATTTCTTAAATTCATATGAACCATCTTACTCTTTTGTCTATATAAGTGAGCTGTCTTGACAACTTTAGAGCAAATGTATTGAATGGTTTGTCTATCCTTGATGTTTTCATCTAGGAGCAGCTGAATACTGTTATCTGGATTCCACATTCTTATGTATAATTCCTGCTGTCCCTAACTTTTTGGCCATGGATTTCTCAGTTCCTCTTTTGGTTTCTCACTTCCCACAGATGTCTGTTCTTTACAACCAACTTTCTCCCCTCTTTTTCCCCATGGGGGTTACCTTTAATTTCTGTAACCCTGGCTATTTTGTTGAATGCTGCATGGCTCTGTGAATCATATATTAACAATTTAATTCAACTTACATTTCCTTTCCAGCTTGTTAGACATCTGGTTTGATTTACAGTTGTCCTCTGCTTTTAAAAGTAGCCAGTTTTACAGTCACTGTTATTTCACTGATCCGCACTTTAAGCTGTGTGTTCTTATGTGATTTAAATCATTATATCTTATTTAGTGCAGAGTTCTGTGGAAGTTTTTGGGTTTTTGTCATTGAGCTGGATAGACTTGCCCTGCTTGGATTGTAACAGTAAGTTTAAGAAACAGTCGACTAGAAGCTTCAGAGGTGATGTTTACTGTTAGAGAACTGAGATACAGAGCTTCCTCTGGTATTTTATATGGGCATATGAGGAGTCAGGCTTCTTAGCCTCTGTTATGATTTCTGAACAGTATAGCACACACTTGTTTAGACTGCAGTAGCTTCATCTGATAACACATCAGTCTTAGAGTGTGCAGGAGACCTTTGACAACTGAAATGGTTAATTCTATTTTTGATAATGCCAGTTCCCTGCTCTTTGTCTGAGGGTTCAGTTACTTCCAGCCATGCATCCAATTCTTCTAGCCTCAGTAATGCCTAATACATATAATTCTTACTCAGACCAGATAAATTGCTTATTTTTGGTGGTGTTTTACCTTTGTAGTTTAAACATACTTCTGTTTGGCAGATATTTCACAACTTTGTAATTTTTTTTTTTAACCGAGTGGATAAGTGAGCACCTCACTTTTTTAAAAACGTACTTCTGACTGATGGCTGCATGATCTCCTGTATTTTCATTTCCCTTTTCGGCAGGCCATTAAACTGCCAATAAAAGATGGGTTATCTTCCATAAATCAGAATTTCTTATTTGCACCATTTAATTTGCTGATAATGTATGTTGAAGATCTTGTGGATCAAAAAGTATCTCCAAGGTGATCAGGGTGAATCTGTTCTTCAGCTCTCCTCTTAGCACAATAGTAGGTGGATTCTTGTTCACTCATGTCTGTTCCTGGCAGAATATTCTTCCTTTCCTTAGCAGAGAATTCACCTAAAGAATACCCTTCATTGAATGAAGCAAGATTTTTGTACCATGAACCAATGATTAATGTTTTTATTTTTACTTTCCTCTTAAAGGATAGGCTATCCTTAGGTCTCTGGTTTGTGTATTTATTCTTTGCTACAAGATGGTTCTGAAGTTCTCCAGCAGCTTACAGGCTTAGGGCTTGGTATCAATAATAACAAAATCTTCTTAAAATAAATTATTTTTCAACACCTTCTGAGGTCTCAGCTTTCCTTGCCCCCTTTTTAAGCTATGTGAAATTCTCTCTCCTCTTGCTTCTTATTGCTTTTCTCTTTTGCTTCAGTTCTCTCATTAGAGCATCTGTTTTCCTTCTGTTGAAAAGTTATTTTATTGGCTAGAATACACTGAAACCATTTTTAGTATTAAAAATCCTGTTTTGTATGGATTTTACTGTCCCTGTTAATGTGGGTATTGTAAGGGTGGGAGGAGGAACAGGGCTCAACACACCTATTTTCAATTGTTCATGTGGTTAGGGTGACTTTGGGAAGAACAATATTACTGCTGAGTGTGAGCTGCAGCCAGTCAGCAAGTCTCATCTCTGTTGGCAGAAGTCTGGGGGGAAAAAAAAAAAAGGTTAGTCATACTGTCTTGTTATGGGTTTTCGCCTCCTTTCTGTCCCTCCAGCTTTGCATGGAGCAGGATAGTGAGCACGGCAGAATGAGGAGATCCCAGTTGATGTGGCAAGCAAGAAGGAGGTAGTTCTTACCTGGGAACCCAGTCACAGATCCTGACTCAATGTTTGTGGCCCACAGAAAGTTTCAAAACAGTTTGTGTAAATAACTGCAAATTTAGATACCTAGCTCTGTTTTTTCACTTGTATGACCCATTACAGCTTTCAGAGCAACTGAATCAAAGTTGACTTTAGGAGATTTTTAAGTCTTGGTTTCATGAGCTAGCAGCTCTGGGAAGTACATATGTCGCTAGTAAGCAAACTTGGCTTGATGATGAGATTTTTATTATTCTTGATTGCAGCTGTTAAAGATCTACACTGTCATTCGTTTGAATATACATATACAGAGATGTGTATCTGATTATTACATACACAGAGAAAAATAGTTTTTTCTTAAATAAAAAAAAATATTTTTTTTTTTTCTAAACTTTGGAACAAAGCTATGTGTAAAAGTAAGTAGGTAGGATAGAGAAGCAGGAAAAGCATGATGTCACTGAAGGAATGTGGTTGTTCAGGGACTTTCTGAAGGCCCTGCTATTACTCGCCTGTGGATCTCTGATATTTTCTAGATAACACCTGCTATACTGGTTCAGAAGTCCTGAAAAATGTGTGTGTGTTTGTATATATATATATATATATATATATATATACACCTGATATCAGAGCCATGTTTATAAAATCTCACTGATGACGGAGAGATTACCTAGCTGCTATGCTATCACAGTGTAGCTTCAGCGATATCTCTAGTGCAAGACTTCCTGGAAAACCTATTCTTTTTAAGCCTTGATATGTTTGTGGAGATAATGATACTGCACAAAAGCACCTGCCAAAATACTAGAA